GATTTGTTTTTTACAACTTCATGTTTTTTCATTTTCCTGCGAAGTTTCTCGGAAAATGTTACGTCATTTCCATGGTCTGTAGTCTCATGGACCATTGCTCTCGACCAGTCAGCACGCGAGGATTCGCGCAGTTATTGTAAAACAATCCTTTCAGACTTAAGAGAGTTTTGAATCTTGTCTAAAAGTTGTCATCTAATGTTTGTAGTTTCAGATATGGAAGAAACAAGACACAATAATCAAACGAAACAAGACGCTGAGAGTGCGAAAGAGAAAAAAACCGCCAACAAGTACCTTGGTAAGTGCTTCACAAACGTCCCAAGTTTGAGTCTGCATAATGGATAATATTATAGATTTAGGTTGCATTCCTTTTGAACAATTTAAATCCGGATTTTGCGATCCGAAATTTGATTTTTCGTTCCATTAAGGACTAAACCAATCGAAGATTGCAATCTGAACGATCCACCTCCGGACTTGGATCGTTCAGATTGGTATCTCAATCTGGTTTCAGATTTTTATTCCATTTAACAAAACTGCTTTTCGATCGCAAGAACGTGCTCTTTCATCGATAAACATGGCGGGTCAAGGTTAGTTCGTGCAAAAATTATTTACAGCCCTCCGTTGCCGTTAAAGGATTATAGTATATTAAACTCAAGTTCCCCTGTAACTCTAAATCCGAAAGGAAGCGAAAACGTTTGGATTTTCTCACCGTACAACTATAGTGTCCAATGTGTGTATGCCTTTAGAGCACGCTTCTCAGCACTTGAGAATTCGTAATTGCCTTTTGAATTTTCTTGAATCAAATTCCAGATAATTTTAAGTTGACGATTCCCAATATGAACCACCACTAGTTAAAGAGCAACTTTTCTTTCCATTTCTCGACGAGAAGATGCTTAATTTAGCGCAAAGAAATAAAAACACGATGTGTTGAAATTGAGAAGAAGATCAGAGCAGCAGGCAGCTACTGTATATGGATCAATCTTATTTCAGCTTTTGTTCCAGCTAACATAAAAATTCAAACTATCTGGATCGCCTGAATCCGAAAAAAGTTTGGCTAAAAGGATTGCAACCTTAGCCAGGGCCAAAAGCGAAGCTCCTGGCTACGCAAACAAAAAATACAATCGTGTAATGCTGAACGGCCACGACAACGAGAACGGCAAAAAAAGGTCTATTTAGCAAAAAACAACTTTGCACGTTTACTAAGCACACTTTTTTTACATTTCTTTGCTGTTGCTTTGCATGACTACAACGTGAAACTTCTTAGTTACACGTTTTATGGAGGAAATGTCGTATGTGTTCCTCTTCGCTTTTTTTTAAAACCGTCATTTACACCTTTGTGGCCGCTAGCATTTCTCAATTTCTCACCGCCGCTACAAAATTTTCAACTTTTTCTTCCAACGAAATTTGTCTCCTTTGTTTCTTATCTCTCTGTTAGGGAAGGGGTAGGTGGGCAATTTCCCAGAAACGTTTAATGATCCAACCTGGATAGTCTTTTCCAGGGTGACTGGTTGCGGTCACCTCGGAAAAATTGGAATTTGGTGGTTGTTTTAGGTGGTTGGTCGTGGCATAGTTAGTACAGTAAAACGGTTATGAAGGAAGTTTGTTAGACTTCTTTGTTATATGTTTTTGCTAGCTTTTCTAGACTTGACCGTGTACAATGTTCAATAGTATTCCTATCATTTTAAACAACAGAAACATCGTAATAATTTATTCACTCACAATTTGCGATCAACAAACAAAGGATTGTGCACGGTTAGGAAGCTTCCAACATAAACTGCATCCCCGTTGTTTTCATTTTTGATTTTTGTTGGCTTTCATGGCTAGTTGCCCTAGTCTGCTAACTATCCTCGTGCTAACGAGATGGCATCATACGCGCTACCCTAGGTGCCATAGACTTTTCATGTCGGTTTCTTCAAGACTTGATAGTGACCCGCGCGCTTCGCCGCGCGTGGCCTTAAGCAGGGAACCAGGGTAGCTAGGCACACATGCTCCGACTTACTGAGAGCCATCCTCGGTGACTCAGGGTAATCAGTCGGGTCAGGAAAAACGAGCAAATGGCGCGGCCAAAATTGGGGGCATCGAACAGCCTAATTGTGCCAATAAGTCTGGGTAATTAGAAATACAGCCTGAGTTTAGTTACAAGTCTCAGTCGGCCTGATATTACGTGAAAACGGAGTGATGGAATGACAGGTTCTAGTAGTGGTATATTCCAAATTCCCAAGGAAGTCCTGTGTTTCAGATACGTTTAGGAACCCTGTGTGTATCTAAAGTGGCTTAATACCCTTATCCGATTCTACAATGGCTTTCATTGCACCTTAAGTGTATCAGCAAGCAATAACCTTTTTCTTTTTCACTTTTTTCTCTTCTAAACATCAGGAACTTCCTGAACAAGTTGTTTTGTTCCTGGAGAAGCTTTTGGAACGAGATACTATCTCCCACACAACATTACGTCAGTTGGACAAGTGTTACAATTTCTCACGAGGCAATGCTGAGGTGCGTTGATTATGCCTAGATGAGGGAACTACCCCTTTAACCCTTTGTAAAGGGTTTAGGTTTAAGTCTTAAGGTTTTTAAACCTAAGACTGATCATCATCAATTTTCTCCTTGTGTTATCTATGCTTCATTGAAAAGAGTGGTCACAAGAATCAAATAATTGATCACAGTTGATGAATTTAATCGATACTTGAACAACCTCTCCCCGATACGTCTATAGGAAATATATCAGGACAATCAAGAATTTAAATTTTAAAGGACTGAAATAACGGGGGTGTTCGTGATACATTTTAGCAGGTAAAATTTTTAGATTGCAACCGGTAAGAGTGCTAAAATCTAAGATGACCGCCTTTGGAGTGGTTGAGGTACCTTAAGAATAGAGATGGTGCCTTATGTCAATGCTAGTATACTAGCCCTTATGGATGAAAATGAATTTGACTTTCGCCCGCAAAATGGTATCTTTTTTTCTGGTATCCATAATCTTCTCACAGCACCTTGGGCAAAATTTTTTATGAAAACCTATTGTTGGAAAGGACCATTCTAGCTTACACTCTAACTCACAATTCGAAGCCTCCTCCACATTCCAATTGTTGTCATCACGGTCACTTCAAAAGGAGGTAAAGTCATTTTTTCCGACATTTGCCTCCTCTTCTCGAAGAAAATCTTGGGTGTAGGGCGTAAATTCGAGTTTGGTTTCTTTTGCAGATTCGACATCGATGGTGTGAACTCGTTGTGAAACACAAGTAAGAGTAGTTTACTGCTTGCTGTGGTGTACTGTAGAATAATGTCTTCTTGACTCCCAACCCCTCCTAGCCACAACCCGTTCTCACTAAAAGAGGCCATTTTAGGTTAACATCGTTCTGCAGCTGTATAAGCTAAGTATCAAACTGACATAGTTTGAATGTCGCTTCGTTTTTACACAAGAGAGAAGAGTAACAAAGGGAAATCAAAAGGTATAAATAGTGCCATTCACATGGGAATAAGTGGAATCTGCTCCGTCACGCGCACTTATACTTGCATTAATTGGCCCGGCTTCGTATTGTAATGGGTAAGACCACTTAACAGGTTCGTCAGATACTTGGACTATTTGTGGGCGAACTTCAATTTATTTATGTCCATATACAGCAGTTCCTTTTACTTTCTGCACCTAGCTACATGTGGTTAGCCACAATAACCAGAAACAAACCAACTCAAGACAAAGTTCAATGGATAAATAAAAAGCCAACGCTACCGTGTAGAAACTAAAGCTTTCCTCATTTCAGTAGCCTTTGGTCACTCGGTCTTCTTTTGCTTGCTGCTCTCACGTGACTTCTCGCGACTCTTCCAAACGGAGAGCTTGCTCGCAGGCTACAGTTGAAAGTTTAAGTCGATATACAGCAGTTCCTTTTACTCTTTGAGCCTAGCTACACGTATAGTTAGCTGAAAATAACCACTAAAGTAATCGATAACAAAAAACGAACGGATTCAAGAAAAAGCTCAATGGATCAATGAAAAACCAACGCTACATTACAGTGACTAAAGTTTTTCTCACTTTAGTAACCCTTGGTCGCTTACCCTCTTGATACGTAAAAGTGTTTTCTTCCGATTAACAATGGTTTGCCTTTAGTGATGATTATCATTGTCGAAACTAAAGCCTACGTAATTTTATATTTTTCATAAAGTACCCTAGATTTACGAGGTATTCTTAGAATAACCCTACTATCACCGCGTTACAAAAAATTCAGTAGTTTTTAGTGTTTTATCTTCTTGTTACAGCTTATGTTTAAGCAAACGCGCAACTATTTTTGTTGGCCGTATGACTGATAACAAAGCAATGAAAAGCTTCTTCTTCAGGCAAAACGCTCCTCCCTTTCTTTCTTGCTTGCCAGCTAATCAAGCTTAAGAAAGTAGATGGAATTTTAAAAATTCAAAATAAGAGAAACACGTCACCATTATCTAGAAATGAGGGAGTGGCCTTCTCCCTTAGCAATGTTTTGAAAGTACATGGAATTTTAAAAATAAAAAGACTCAGTTCCTCAAGATTTCAAAGCAGCGGCGATACTCATAAATAAAGATACAGTCGAACTTCTACTAAGTGACACACCTCTACAACGGTCAACCTTTTCACTCCCAAAAATAATTCCAAAGTTAACTTTGCAAAATGAAAATAATCCGAAAAACTATTAGCACGTTGTCAAAGTACTGCAAAATTGGTTTCATTTGAATTGTCATACCAAAGGTTTTTGTCCACGATCTCAACAGTTGGAGTGCGTACAGAACAAATAGTGGTGAACAAACTGAGGTTTCATATAAATGGTTGGAACATAGAATTTCATCCACAGACTCAAATGTTAGAACACTGACATTATTAATGTAGAATTACCAGGCGATGATCGTACTAAAAAGGTCATTAATTTTCCAGTGATTGGTGAAACTGTAGGATCTCGTTCATGGTTGCCAAAAATTGCGTCTCGCTTCGACTAAATCTGGGAGTAAAAAAGTTAAATACAGACTGACTGCAAGTATAACGCTTAGATTCGAAATGGAGTATTAAACTGCTTAGCCAGAACTCTTAGTCGAGAATAGATAGCATCCCAGTCGAGGTAAAACCCTTGCAAGTAACGCTTTGTTTGCTTGTTGATAATGAAGGAGGATCTACCATGTAGCACGCGGCTGTTGTTGAACGTTACAACTTCGCCGGGTAACATTTTATGCTCAATTTGATTGGCTGGATCTGCTATCATCTTGCCAATTGTCAGGTAGGCTTCATACAGTTGAATAGTTTTTTCTGGAGAAACATGCAGCCCGGAATCACGCGTCTGATTGTTGCACGAGAATCGGACGATGTTTTCATTCTCGTCCAACCTACGAGAAGAAGATTAACACAGGATCAAAACAATGGCCCTAAACATGCATTCATTAAACTCTTTGCCTCCTTTTTTTGGTAGCTGTCTTAAATGTCTTTTAGGTCTTTCTTCGTCGTTTAAAGTTTCGAAATCCTAAATGGAACGTACAGGCCGTCCACCGCCGGTGTGGACGTATTCTTGTAACAAGACGGCACGTCTACCTAAATCCTATATAAAGCCCCTCCGGGGCTTAATTATTTCAAACACATTTCAGGGGGGAGGGGGACTTATTTGAGGGAGGGGTTTATTTAATTTTACAAAGACGATGGTATCAACTAGAATGCAAAGTGGAAATGTTCAAGTACAACTCCAAACTTCCAGCTAGCGAATAAACCATCCCGAGATCAGTCCACACGAGGTTTTACAGTCGTGATTGATTAAAACATTCTATCATTTATTAGTGAATAATAATAACAAGGGAGGAGGGGGCGGGGGCTTAAAAGAGATGGGGCGGGGGGGGGGGTATTAACTTTCTTCCCCTGAAAAGGGTGGGCTCATTAGAGAGGGACTTACTTGAGAAGGGGGGGGGGGGCCTTAATAGAGGATTTACGGTATATGTACTGTTGTTGGCAGAGTGTAGACACACAATGACTAGTTTGCTGTTACAAAGCCCGAAAACGAGATCTTTTTTTTTCCTTCTGGACGGCGCCTTTGAATAATGCTGTGCTGGCACAGGTATTGTAAGACAAGTCTGTTTTTACTTACTGTCAAAAAGTTGTAGGATTTTTGAAACACTCACTCTATTATGTGCCTTGCGAATTTGGTGTGAAATTCGCCAAAGATGTCGATCCCTTTAGCAGTGAACGGAATGCGCGTGGTTGACAAGAGCTTAAACGCTTCCGGATCTTTCTCCCTCAGCTCCTCTGCTACATAGAATCCATCTACAAACTGATTGCCACCTCCTTCACTCAACACTTGCTCAATACAATGGAGAAGTTGAACCTAAACAAAGCATGTCATTTGCCACTTAAGAAGCGAGAAGGAGACTGTAGCCAAAATGTGTACCGCAATGGATTCTGGGATCGTTACTTGGGACGCGTCAGGCAGCTATTGGCCAATTTTTTTTCTCCTGTCCCTGGTTACAGTCCCAGAAGTCTTTGCGAAATTTTTCATTCTCATTTCTGTAGTGGCGAATGTCTGTTCGTAACGTATTAAATGAAGAGCTAAGCGTCTCCAAGGCAAGCACCAAGAAAGTTGGCGATATTTTTCTTTTTCTTGTCTTTCTTTATTTTTTGTTGCTTTCTTTTGTTCAGGCCAGAGCCCCGATTTTAGTGCCCGCAGGAGGAGGCCTAATCTCCACAGCAACCACCGCAGATCGGTTTCCAATAACAGACAAGCGTTACTTTCGTAATTAGTTTTAAGCATTCCTCCAGACACCTTTGGAGAGCGCCGGACACATTGCCTGTCAAGGAACTTTGTACTTCTGATTAAACGAACCAGACATCTCAAGGAAACGCGAAATTTGATCAGACTATTTGGGTATTATAAATTCATTTCACGGTCGATTGAAAATTTGGAAGTCGATCTTCGCGGCTGGCTTCGCAATTGATAACTACAGTTTTCTCGCCGTATTTGGATTCAAATAGGCTTGATACGCTTTCAATGGTTTTTCAAGTGCTTTCTTTTAAGAAAATAGTGCTCCGATGGCTCATTTAACTTCTTTCAAGAGTAGTATGCCGTGTCAACATTGGTGACCTTCGAAGCGAAAACGGCGAGTCGGCGTACCAAGTTTTTACTGTGGAGCCACAAGTAGGAGTACACTCTCTGCTGGCACATTTTTCTCCGGTTTGGAAGGAACTCTGCGTGGAAAAGACCCTGACCAAGGAAATTTTTAAATCTTCTCCATTTGAACGTTTGAGAAAAGCCGTCAACAATGCACATTTTATAGTCACCGGTGTAAACGAATGCGAGAGCTCGAGCTCTACTTCACATGTCCTTGAGGAACAGCAAGACCGATTATCTGATTCAATAGACGACCTTTTTATCAAACGGCGAAGGATTCAAGTCTTTTTTCTCTGGCTTAAGACGATGTAAGCGTCGATGTGCCTCCAGTGACAAATCACTCTCCAAAAAGCCCGCCAAGCACTGTCGAAATCCCGCCAAAATCTTATTCGCTGGCAGGAGC